CACTGTGTGGAGCCGATTGGAGCCGGTCTGATGTTGACCGAGCACAACCCTTAATGAGGGGAAAAAAATCTAGCTGCCTGACATTCGGCTGCAAACTGGGCGTCAATTGCAGAAATGTCAAGCTTAATATCCTTGACAGTGGCTCCTGTTTGGACTGAATCTTGTTTTTGAGGCATTTTGAGTAAAATCAGTCAGATCACATTGATAGAATCGTGAATTATATGCTTTATGGGTTATTTTGGATATATTTTTGTATGGATAGTCTAAGAGCATTTTAACCTTCACTCTTTGCCCTTTTTTCATTTTTTTCTGTGCAGCATCAAACTTTAACCCGATGCTCTGTGATAAAAAAAAGATATTTTACAAATATTTTAGCTCAAGAAATTACAAAGATACCACTCACATTCATAATACAGTTTAGTTATATAGGGAGTGGTTGCAACACTTTTTTCCTTTCTCTGACTATGATGCTTATGAGGGACAATTCAGGACAGACGCTGCTTTTTCAGCAGAGATTTTTAGAATCAGTTTGAAAGTGTTTATTTACATCACGCTCCCCTCCATATCATATTAAAAAATATATTTGCAAAACTTCACTAAAAGAACTCTCTGAGAGTTCACCTTTCACTGGACTTACCCAGTTATAAACTGTTCCACATATTCTGTGGCGCTTGTGCTGTCTTTTCTTTTAATGTAGCTTCCATCATATTTTGCATTAGAATCTTTTACCTGTTCTGTTTTAAAAACATTTTATGCAGCTGGTTCACTCTACCTACATCAACCATGTATTTCAAATTAGACTCACATCTGTCTTCTAATTGCCCAAACCATTTAATCAATTCATTTATGAGAAAATTTTAAGAAAATTGTTTTTTAACTACATTTGTAATTAAAAATTCTGAATAATTGAACTTAGATTAGTGTTTTGTATAATTTGTGACACCTGCATCAAATATGATACACTTAATAGGTCTTAATGGGTTAGGGTTCCCATCCCTGGAGCAGTTGAAACATATCATCAATCAATTCAGTTTACATACCAACTTATAATTTTTGCCTTAATCAATCTTGTAATTCTTTACTATCAAAAAGTTTTTTAAACTGCAATTAAACGTCTTCAGCTCAACCCAAATGCTGCAGCCAGAGTCCTGATTAAAATCAAAAAGAGAGATCATATCTCTCCTATCCTGGCTTCTCTTCATTGGCTTCCTTTTAAATCCAGAATAGAATTTAAAATCCTCCT